CAGTTTATAACGCTTCGCGTTTTACAGCTCTTAAAATGAGCGACATTGTTTTATACTGTTGAAGAAAAGCATTCATTTGATTTAAGTTGAGTGAAAGTTTACTCCAGCCAACCCTTGTTGTTATAAACCTTATCAAACAAAATATCCCTGCATTTGATTTCACGATACTCCCTGGCAACGCTGTTTTATCGGTTGGTCCGTCTTGATTGAGCTGGCGTTTTTGTGAATATCCGAAAAACTAATTTGTGATATGGGAATCGGCTTTAACTAGTGAAACTACACTTACTCTGCTACAGTTTAACGTAAAGAAATGAGGATGTTTCCGGTGTCCCGGTTGCCCAAAATTCACCTCGAAGAGAAATCTTCCACGACCAAAATTTGCTTCTTTCGACCATAGCGTGACATCAGTTTGTCACGAACCATTTTCGAGTATCTTACATAAACTTACGACTTGAAGAAAGTTTACGGTATTCATAACTTTGTATCTAGTTTAGAGGCTGTGACAGTGAGAAAAACGTCTTTTGCCATTGTTTTCTTGCTGATGCAGCTGTTTTAGAGTACGTGCACTGGCAACAAAATTAAATTAAGCATGACATATGGAAACTCATTTGTACAAAGAAACTAAGGTAATAAAGATCCTCAACAGTTTCTCCTTAGGCATTGACTTCTTCAAAGTTATGTGGGAAACCAGAAGTGGTGCAGAAATATTGAATGAGTAAAATAAACATTTCTTTGCCAGTCAATTGTCATGAGGCAGATAAAAGATTTCTCTACACGGCCATTCCTACTTTTGTCATTGGGTCATTGAGATGATGAAAGGTATGAAGGATGCTTGAAACTGGTTAGTTCAAAAGCTCACTTTATGCGTATATGTCAATGCCATTTTTTATATAACTTCCCTATCTTGCAAATGCTCATAAAAACAGAGCAAGATTCAGAGTGGAGAACGCAATTTTTACAAGAATATCACATTGATTTCCAAGGAAGCCAATCAAAGTAAGTTTTTACAGATCGATACATGTATTGAATTAATTAAAAAGACACAACAAACTCCTTTTTTACTGTAACACCCTTGCACTCTTGTTAATTAACTTACAGCAGCACTTTCTACACACTACCCCTTCTCTAAACTTTACATTTGCGTTTTTTGCACTTCTTGCGGAACATTTTTCCGGCCTGCAAAGCCACGAGGAAAACAGTTGTTCGCCAGTAAAATCGAAAACGGTAACCCGTGAGAAGTTTGAGCTTTCCCGCCCTACATTTTCCTACCATTATGAAAAAGAGGACAAAGCAAGAAAACTGCAACATTTGCCTAAAACTCTAGAACAAGCGATGAAGCAAAGTCAACGGTGAAATCGCTCTTTCGGACGCCATCTTTGTTTTTAAGATTTCGACAGCGCGCGCTTAGTAAGAGCCTGAGTACCAGGGTAACAAATCAGGCAATCAGACAAAAGTCTCCTTTGTTCTGGTGCGGTGAATATAGCGTCATATAAGGAATCGTTCAACCAATTAGATTGCTGGAAACTTTTTGTTCAGCTCTGAAATTATACTAATAAACAATTAGATTATGAGCTCGAGATTTCTATCGCGTGATAGTTGAGAGGCTGCAGCACGAGTCAACTATCACGCATAAAAATCGAAAGCGAATAATCTAATTGTTTTAGTAGAAATCTACTAGCCGTTCAAAACTCTATCTAACTGCTGTACACAGACACTTCGAAAACGCCAAGAAGCCGCCGTTATTTTGTTAACAAGGGCGCACTGCTACGCTACTTACTATCTATCACAGAATAGATAGTGAGTAGCGTAGCCAATCAGAGAACTGCATTCGTGATAGAACGTTAGTAGATTTATACTAAAACTCGATGGAAACACGGTACATGTTTTCTATTTCTTAATTATAAAACAATCATTGAACTTGAGCACATGTAAAATTTAGCCTGGAGTAATTTGAAGCTTTCCCAAAAGAAACCCGGGAACGGTATAAATGTAAGTCAACATTATAACCGCGACATTCATCAGCATACATGCATTCGACACTGTCTTAAAACTTTTCAAACGTAATAAAATAAAGTTTGCAACTCGATTCTTTTCAATCCTATTAAGCACTTGCAAATCACAGCAAACTTACCTTAGTGAAGATCGCTTAGTATTTAGCGGCGGAAGCGTCGAAGAAAGGTTAAGCACAGACATTGGCCGTTTTCACACTAGAGACGGATAATCCGTCTAAGACAGGTTATCCGTCCAGCACGGATAATCCACCTTAGTGTGAAAACGAAACGGTGTTCATTTTAGACGGATAATCGGTCTAGTTTTATCCGTCCGATTATCCGTGTATTTAGACGGATAATCGGACGGATAAAAATAGACGGATTATCCGTCTAAACTGAACACCATCTTAAGTTGATCGTTTTGTTCCACACGAACAAGCAGTTTTTCTTCTGGTTTTATCTTCTCTCCTGAGTAGGTTTTCAAAATAGAAGTTGTGTCCACCAGTGGTGTGTTTGGGAATGTTCCCTTGTCGGTACTCTTGCAATGGGAGTGTGGATATTGCTGAGTCTGTGTCGAGTTCCATTTTCAGGATGTGACCATTAATCTTTGTTTTCACCCAGATGACATCCCCAGCTGCCACTTGGTTAACATTATTGACTTCTAGTAGTGCAACTAAGCTACCATCATCGCGTTCATCATCCACCTCAAAGGAAGGCAGATTGGGCTTTTCATCCTTTCTTCGTCGGTTGAAGTTCTGACTCTTTCTTGAGCCGCAAACTCGATCATTGGATGTAGCCCAGTTTCCCACATTTCCGACACGTTTCGTTAATGAAGTAACACTCCTATGATTCATGTGTAGTATCATCACATCTCTAACAATGATCGCGGGACTTCAGTTTCACATTTGGTATTCTGTCGCTTCCATTGGGTACTTTGTTAACTTCTGATTCTTTAGTGCCCTGTAACTCTAAGGTATCTTTCGCCCCAGCTTCCATGGCTATATAATGCAATTTCTGTCCCTTTTGCTAATGTCAACTCTGGTTCCGAGAGCAACCGTTTCTGGATAAATTCGTTGTGCAGTCTACACCGGCACAAGTCTATCCCTTAGCGCGTCATTTAAGTTCGTTCCAAACTCACAATACAGTTTCAACTTCTTTAATTCAGCAAGGTAAGTACTTACGGGCTCACTTTCAAGTTGATTTCTCTTGTGAAAGCGGAATCACTCTGCTATGAGTAGTGGTTTCGGTGATGGATGTTTCTGTAGTTTTTCTGCAATAGTTTTAAAGGACAGGTCGGACGGTTTTGCTCAGGCAGACCGTCAGTAGCCCGAATGTTTTGTTTCCCATTAGGCTGAGCATCACTGCCACTTGCTCCTCTTCTTCAATTTCGTTGGCGATGAAGTATTGCTCTACTCGTTCGACGTAGGTATTCCAGTCAATCGGCACCGTGGCGTAGATTCGAAATTTCTATTTTCATGGCATGGGATCTGAATTCTCGTCGCCAATCTGTTGTGTCTCACGAAATAATCTGGCTGGACATGGCGACTCAACATAACGGCCATTCTCGTCCCTACTGCTAGTCGCCTTAAAATGTCGTTGACGAGTAGCTCTGGACGCACCAAAAAATTTGAATTTTTCATTGGCTGAAAAACATGAATGCGCAGCAGAAATGAAAATTACAAAGCTCTACGCATTCCATTTTACTTCCGGCCCGGATGGCGGCACCTTCGCTGGCGCGCTTTTACGAAAAAAAGAGCAAAACAATTGGCGACCATTCCCAATCGTTCCGAAAGAGTTGTAAAAGTTTCCGCGTAACCAAAGCAGTTCAACGATGCCATTCTCGATCGTAAACATCGTCTTAACTATCCTGAGTTCAACAGGTCTTTATTCTGCTGCTCCTTACAAACCTATGTAAATAACCAGGAAGTAAATAGTTCTTACCACTAGAAAATCTTCCCTTTATCTATCAGCATGGCTTACATTTAAATGCTCCGGTCAGTAATGAAATTTCCAAGGCTGATTTCCATAAAATCTTCCATGTATCCATACACAAATTTCACGGTGTCATCGATAGACGTATTACATGTAGTATCCTGATTGCTTTGCTTTAACAACTGCACTTCGCTCTTTTAAACATCTCTTTTTTTTATCGAATACGAAGAAAAGAAACAACAAGGACACAGCTACCGATCCCTGAATTTTTCTAGACGGTTCACCACAAAATGCACAACGAAACCCGTTGGTAACGTGAGACAAGCTTGCAACCGTGTTTGAAGCGACGGAATTCAAGGAGGCTTTCTGTTCTCTTTTTAACTCTAAATCACCTAACTTCAGCGAAGTGAAAACCTTTGTCTACCCTTCTTTGAAGTCCGATCTGTCAACACTGAAGAACACACTCCACCTCTCCCTCAGGATTAGTTTCTGAGCATGAGCAGATATGCGGACAAAAATTACGCCTGCGTTACCGGATGTCCGTGATTTACGGACATCCAGTAATTGCTGCTACCAATGTCCTCCGTTTCGCCGACCAAGTGACCAAAAGAAACGGAAGCTCTGGGGACAAGAATGCATGTGGCATGCGTGCGCATGTAGTAATACCAAAATCCGGGAACTAGTTTGTACGGCATAGCAGAAACCACCTGGTTACAAATCAGTTTTTATTTAACAAATAAAGAAGCCTAAGCCGTGTATTACACTGTGATAAAACACGACGGGCATTTGAGAACACGAGGGAAATGTAAAAAACACTCACCTGCGGCTCGTGTTTTCAACATTTCTCGAGTGTTCTCAAATGTCAGAAGTGTTTTATTACACTGTAACACAAGGCTTAAGCTTCTTCATTTGCTTTATGACATAGAGGCAATGTGGCGAAAAACAACTAAACACACTTTTTCTATGTTTTATAATCTGATAAAAACATGGGTTTTTGACCAATCAGAGCGCACACAGGGTCCTATCTATATTATAATATAATATGTTATAAAACAATTATTGAACTTGAACATTTGCACAATTTAGCCTGGAGTGATTTGAGGCTTTCTCAAAAGGAACCCGGAAACACTATAAATGTATGTAAGTATTATAAGCGCGGCATCCATGAGCATACATGCATTCGATACTGTCTTAAAACTTGTACAACGTTATAAAATAAAGTTTGCATCTCGATTATATTTAATCCTTTTTAATCTCACACAAGCACTTGCAAGTCAAAACGAACTTACGTTAGTGAAGATCGCTCAGTATTTAGCGGCACAAGCGTGGAAAAAAGGTTAAGCACAGACATTTCAGCGGCGTTATAGGTTTCAGTGGTAATCCATGAGTCATTCAAGCGGTATCGAAGGAGCGTCCTCCCGACGCGTCGAGTATGGTAGGTACGGTTGAACTGCTTTTTTTGATACACTTTAGTTTCGCAAAGTTTTAATTTATCATTAGTAGCGAACTCGAATTAAATAGGTAGCAAACTAGAAGTTGCGTGTAGCGAACTCGAACGTAGACAGTAGAGCTCAATTGGTAGCGAAACCGGCAAGCTACACAAAGTTGCATATTTCCTACTAGTATTAAAATTATCCAAAGTCCGTCGACAGGATCTTGACGAAAGGTTCATTACAGTGTCAGTTAAATGAATACTATTCTCCCTCACTGTATTTTTTTCATTCTACTTTCAGTGCGATATTCTCTCGTCGATATAATAGAGTCTAAATCGTTTTTTTTACTTTCCTTATATATTTATTATTACTTGGTTTGTTTTAAGTTTGTATAAATTGAGATATATTTCGTTACTCAAAGAACAAAACAACTGTGTATGCGGAAGGGCCTTTTAGACACTTGGCCGGATTGTGGACCTCGTGTTTGTGTGGTTGCTTGTATATGAAATCCACAAATACATAGCTAGACTATTCGCAACCAATCTATTTTTCACCGCACGCGAAAAAGGAAGCGAGCGAGGCAAGCGTGAAGCAAGCGAGGGTGGGGACGGGAAGGTAAGTGAGCCGAGTCACCCCGGTCAAGTCGTTTTGAGCTGACGCCCAGTTCTCTCGCGATTCTATCCGCGCGTTCAATGATGGAATAGAAATACGAGAAAATAAATGGCTATGAACAGTTAATACATAGCTAGCTCATCCGTAATCTTAATCGTCTCGTTGTGAGACGAAAGTTTCGTTTACTATTTGTTTCTGAAAGTATTTCTTTCGACGACAGAAAAACTCCATCCGCCGGTTTAATTTGCCGTGTCATGATTTCCGCATTATTCTGGTCTAGTACTCGGGGAATCGTTTAAATTGATTAGTTAGAAGGCTCTCGGCTAATCGCAAATTCATGTCTTATCAACCTTGGCAATGTCGAGCTTCCCACTTAAAGTCAAAGTAGAATATACGGGAGATGAAAATTGCTAGTTTTTGAGACCTTTTTAAAGTAACGGTGAAACCGACGTGGAATAACTCCTCGACGACTCCATCTTTCGATATGATTTCGCACAGATCAGCTCATTTATTTCGCCTTTTTCTTGTTTCTGGAAGAATGCCATCGAGATAGAGGTATTGAATTAAGGGGAATACTCTCTCCTAAGCTTGCTGTGGTGCTACAGCTTGCTTTAGTGCTCTATAACTAGGTTGTATATGCGCCTGGTAGACAGAGAGTTCTTCCTTTGAACTTTCGCTTTTGTGCTGAGATGCTACGACAATTTTCGCCGACGCTAAAAGGCTACTGACATCATGTTTCTTCAACATTCCCCAGGGGGAAACTTTGCTCCCACTGGTTCTACTCCGAGTACAGGAGAGAATATCAGAGCAAGCTTTTAACTGGTTACTCGTCGGGTTAGTGTTGTAATTGTTGAGTTTCACTTCGCTGAGATGACCAGAGATCGCTTTTTAGGGAACGAGCGTTATTACGCTCCATGAAAGTGTTTTAAGCAAAAAATTCCAATTAAACTTACTGTACATCTGTTCTCTGAAAAAGCACGCTGTCTCGGCCAAGCAAAGCGCGCTTTATATGGAAACTTCATTATAATATGTTATAAAACAATTATTGAACTTGAACATATGTAAAATTTAGCCTGGAGTAATTTGAAGCTTTCCCAAAAGAAACCTGGGAACACTATAAAGATGTGTCAGCATTATAAGCGCGACATCCTTAAGCATACATGCATTTGCCACTGTCTTAAAACTTCTACAACCTAATGAAATGAAGTTTGAATCCTTTTTAATTTTACACAAGCACTTGAAAGTCATAACAAACATACGTTAGTGGAGATCGCTCAGTATTTAGCGGCAGAAGCGTCGAAGAAAGGTTAAGCACAGACATATTTAGCGGTTTCATACGTTTCAGCTGTGACCGGTTATTTATTCGGCATTGAAGGAGCGTCCTCCAGAAGCCTGGAGTATGGTGGGTACGGTTGGATTGGTTTTTGATACAGTTAAGTATCGCAGTTTTAGTTTATCGATAGTAGCAAACTCGAATTAAATAGGTAGCGAACTGGAAGTTGTGTGTAGCAAACATGTAACGAACTCGATTGGGAGCGAAACCGGCAAGCTACACAAATTCTTTACTAGTTTACTAGTTGCAAACGTCTTTACAAAAGGTTCAGTGCACTGTCAGTTAAATGAATGCAATTCCCCTTCACTGTATTTTTGTCATTCTTCCTTCAGCGCGACAATCTCTCGTCGATATAATAGAATCTAAATCTTTTTTTTACTTTCCTGATATATTTATTATTGCTTGGTTTGTTTTAAGTTTGTATGAATTGAGATATATTTCGTTACTCAAAGAACGAAACAAATGTGTATGCAGAAGGGCCATTTGGAAACTTAGCCGAATTATCGACCTCGTGCGTGTTGCTTGTATATGAAATCCACAAGTACCAGTCCGGAATATCCCGATAAATTAGGACGGCCATGACGTCATGAAGCTATTGTTAGCAGGGAAAATGGCGGACCTTTCATGCGGACAAAGAAAATATGTTGTTTCCAGTCTCGCACAAAGTCTGGCCAGCATTATCCAGGACTTTTTGCGACCAAACGTTGAGAAGAAGAATAAGCGGCCATTTTGGTAGTGGGAAAACGTTGACTGTCTCCTAATCATTGAGTTTTTTTGGTG